TGTAAATGGACACAATAATTTATTTTATTCATTTTTGTGTAGTGCTGAGGATTGAGTCCAGTGCCTCACACATGCTAGGCAAGTGCTCCCCCACTAAACGACAACCCCAGCCCAGGGAATGCTTTTTGACCAAAGTATCTTAATCTTCCTGAAGACTATCTAAGAAACTGGAATTGAATAGGCTATTTGTTTTGTCCATCAGGTGTTTCATGCCAGAATTTTGAAGAAATTTTTTTTTCAGAATTGCTGTAATAATCAGAAATAGGTTATCAGGACACTGAATGCACTGTAGGATAATCAGAGAATTTGAGAAATACAGTGGTATTTATTTATAAAGTTTTAGGAATAATTTTTGAGCGTGTGCTTGGCTTTTAGCAGTTACTCTTGAGAAATCTCTAGAAGGATTATTCCGACTGACCAAAACAATCCATTACTTAGCTATAATATTTTTTTTTTTTGCAAGTAGCTAGACTAATTTATATAAATCTGAAATGCTAAGCTGGGAGATTGGACCTGAAGTAAGACAGTGCATCATGGCTGAAGGCCCCTGTGGAGGAAGTCTGCTCAACTCATGGCAAAGTCAGAAAACAGAAAGGGAAAGAGGTCACACAGCAGAGGAACCCTCCCAGGGCACACCCCTAGGGATCTATCTTCTCCAGCCATGTCCCACCTGCCTACTGTTATCACCCAGACCATTCAAATGAGGATGGATTGATTAGTTACAGCTCTCACAATCTAGTCATTTCATCTCTGAACACACCTGCATTAACATAAGAGCTTTTAGCAGATACCTCACATCCAAACCATAACACCATTCCAGTTTTTTTCTAATTGATTATACAAGTAGACTTAATTTTGAAATATCAAAAAAGCCCTGGAGGAGCCAGTATAATTTCAAATTATCATGCATGATTTTAGTTCATTGAATCAGGAATTTACAAAAAATAACCAGTACATTTAAACCATGAAAAAAAGGAGGAGTTTTGGATGGTGGTTGCCCACTAGGAACATTCTCAGAGAAGGAGCTTCCTGTAATTAACTCAAGATGAAAGGTTTCTTTCTTAGAAACTCAGTACCCACCAAAATGAGGGATGCCCTCCTAGATACTTATATGAGAGATTTTTCTCCTAAGCAGCTGGCAACAATGGACACCCAAAGTTTTGGAACTTCAGTGAAAAAAGGTTTAGAAACTGAGATGATTTGCCCTCATGATCCGAAGCTGCCAGGGAGATGATAGAGAATAAAAGACCCCTGTGGGCACTTATTTGTGTCCTTGGCAGCATCACAGGGGGGAGATGAGTCACTTCAGATCCCAATTCTGACATCGTGTAATGTCAACCCATTCAAACTCAGAAATGGTAAAAGCAAAAAGACTTTATTTGGGTCTTTGGAATTACAGTTTAGGAAAACACAGGGTCAGATAACTCTCAATGAATTTTCCAAAGAAGCTCAGATGTGCAGGGTTTTTAAAAGAAAGCAGAAGCTGAGGACAAAGGAAATTTCATAGGTTACTCAAAAAGGAGGATGACGGGTGCAGAAGAGTTATACTAGGATACATGTCACTAGGATACATATC